GGCTATACTGATGACAAAGCTGAACTCTGCTTGTGAAGATGCATGGCGTTGGACAGGACAGTACTCAAACGCCGAGTCACTGCCATGGCATGGACAGGGCATCTGTGTTTTTTTATAAAGCGATCGCTGAGGTGCCGACGGCGGATGAAGAGTCGTAGTTACGGGTTGTAGTAACGTGACGTGGACCTGGTCGGGTTCTGTCACGGACGCTACCAGTTTGTCGTTGACGTGCACGTGGAAATGGCTTACAACTTGCCCGTAACATTCCAAGAGTTTGCTTCCTCTCTTTTAATGCCAAGCGTGGCATGTTTTTGAGATCTTCTCATATTTAACATTGCTTTTTATGCATTCACATTCAAATTATGCACGTGCAAAACATGGAACCCCTCCATGTCCATCTCCAAGCACACCGCATGAGATTCGAAGCCGAACGAGGACATTTCTGTGTTTTGTTATCTCACTGAGTGTTGAACATCATTCTGCCACCAAACGCTCTCAGTGTAGATGCATGTAGACATGACACTCATATTTACTTCAAAGAGAGTGAGTGAGTCGATTTTACTCTGCTTTTTGGCATATTCCAGCAATATCGCAGGAACGGGCACAAAAGTGAGTAAGTATAGGATTTCGCAGCCTTTGGGAATATGCAAGCTATATTCAAAGCGGAGGACACAGGAATGGGTTTCACGTATTTTGACTCATTGGCGTGACGAGTGGACGTTTTACCCACATATCTACCGCACCCCTGCTATTTTCAGAGAACAAAAGATTACTGCGGTTTAATTTGCATGACAATGCTAAAACAGTCAAGATTAATTGCAGTTAAAGTTTAGAGATTATTTATACACACATTACATGAATTGCTGTCTTTGCTACTATATCAGACAAAGAATAAGTCTTAATTACGCAAAGTCCACCGTTTTTCATCCTCGGAGTGAGGATGTTTCAACATAAATATCTAAATCGTTTCACCTCAGTGATAATTGCTCTCATTTGAAAATCAATCCTGCAACAATTAAATATAATGGGACAAACACGTTCTTTCTATTGGCGCCAGTTCTTCAGTGTGTACTGTATGGAAGGTTACTTTTCGCTAAGTGCAAAAAAAACACCCCCCAAAAAACAAAAACAACAACCTGGTGCGGTCATTTAGTTAGTCGTGATCGATAGAAATGCTTCTAGCAAAGAAACCAAAATATGTTATTCTCTTTTCGATAATCTGCAAGTCAATCAAAACATTGATCTATATTCGGACACAAATAGAGGCGTCCGTTTGTTATTATTGGAGACGTGCTTAATATGACTAAAGAAACAGACAGATTTCATTACTTACCAGGTCACGTATTAATTACTTTCACAATCAATTGTCAATATCAATACACTCTTCAGACATATTGAAAGGTACAGATGCATTCTTGGTTGTTTCGCCATTGTTCAACACCCATTTATTTTACATCGATTTGTTACACACCCAAGTGTTATTCAGTAGATGTGAGTCAAACTTGTAATTACACTGAACCGAAAAGTTTGAAACATTATTGTTGAGACCGATGATTATGATAAATTATTTAAGTGTAACACACATTTAGAATATTCCATAAACCCCAATAATGTAATGGCTTGTACTAGACCGGACTGATGCCGATTTTATAGTGCTAGCCCACTGAGAGACAGTGAGTTGGGGGTGAGTCTTTTTTAATCTGAAATGGAACTTTTGAACTGGGCCCTAAATTCCTGTTGAGAGCTGTATGCAATTGATGAATTGGCAGTTTCCAGATGGTTCACTTAACAAACTGTTAATATTGCTAAACGCCAATTACAGGCGGGGATTTTCTTTTTATTTGAAGCGCTAAGGAATTACAAGCAACCTAACGTTCTTGCTTACAACGTTCCTTGGAGGGGTAGAAGTGTCTTTTGTTCCGTGCTAAGTGACGAATGAACTTACAGACTGACGGTTGGACCACATGTGAAGACCAATGACATCAGATCACTTTCACTTGTTAAAAAGTTACTATTATATCTTGATATTACACTTTGCCGTTTTTGCTTAATTACATATTAATGCTCAGTTTGAGTAAATTTGGTTCAAAAGACCATGCAAGTGAAGAAGACATAATTATTTGTGCAACATCGTATCGCCTCATGAACATCGTATCATGAACACAAACGTTCAATTTTCTAGGTCTTGTGGTTCTTGACAAGGATAAACATTTTGAACATTTTGTGAAATGTGTAACACCTAAAACTTTAATCCTAAGGATGTGAACAAAATACACAATGGCGTAATAAAAAGTAGCATATATATCCAGTTCCCTCAGATGTTTCAGAGCAAAGAGGAATTTTGAGTGAAGGTGAGAGCAAGATCAATACGCCAAAGATCAATACTGAAGGTCAAATCAGTCACAATTAAAACTATCGCAAAACATGTTGAGTACCATTTCTATATTATGTCGTGGCAGTCATTTTGAAAGTCGGATCGAACTACTTTAAGAAATTAAGGGAACAACCCGTTTGCACATGCACTTCTCATCATGTATAAAGAGTGTATTGATATTGAACAAACATGTGAAGTCTTTAGCTTCAACGATCTAGTGACTAACTTGTACTTTAACTGAATACAAACACACTATTTCCACCTGAGTACCATTTTAACCTTTTTATAATTGTCAAAATCAAAACCTTAAATCTTTGTAAGGAAATATATCATATTGGAACAAAACTGATATATCCCCAGGTTTTACAGGAGAAAATGGTAGTAAAATGAATTGCTCTTGGCGTCATGTGAAATACGTTTGGCGAAAATGCTACCGATATGTTCGGTAGAACTTGTCAAGTTTACTCTTATCGCGAACATCTGGTGTCATCGTGATCAATCACTTTCAGTGATCCATTCATCTATTTGTCACCGCAGTTTAGCCTTTACAAACAACAGAATCTGTTTCGGGGGATATTCAGTACTAGTTATTCTCTTGCGTTGACGTTGTATCCCCTGGCTAAAAGCTTAAATGATTTTACACTGTTTCACCAAAACCAAAAGGCATAATCACAAACACGGTGGCATTTATCATTAGCATCAGATTGTATGTTCCCCACAGATAAACCGTGACCTACATTGCAAGGACAAGATATGATAAGGGTCTTCTTTGCCAACTGGAAATATCAAAGTTGGAAGTTGTGGAAAATTTCAAATATAATTTGGTATGAACATTACCATACATGTTTGTTGACATTTTGCAGTTTTACAGTTTTTCCTTTCTTACACTTACAAGTGTTGGACATGATAAAATACACGAGCATGGTGAAAATCAGTAAAAAAGGCTGATTTGTCAAATTTCAAAATAAAACCTAAGTATGAGCAAGTTCGTGATCCACGATGATTTTTTTTACCATAGGTTTGTACAGATTTTATCTATATCTCCTAAATAAAATTGGACTTGGTCAAAGTCTGGGCCCTATTCTTATCAGTCGACTGGTCATGTCATGCGATGTTCGTACAACATTTGGCATTTAAAAAAAAAATTCATTCTAAATGTCTATTATATATGCATCAACCTATGAACTTGCTTAGAGCCCTATTCCAAGAAGTCGGTGGCTCATGGGTCAATCTGGTGATGCTCACCCCCGAATTCTGTATGTCTCCAACTGATTGTCATAGGCCGAACCAGACTGACTTTTTTAATTACATAAGAAAACCTCCCCCAAAATCGGTATACTTTCTTTGGCCCCTCAGTTTAGTATCAACAAAATAAAAATAATATATTGTGGTGCATGGTTACTGCCTTGATCCCAGCATGATTTAAGCAGGATTGCCTTTCTGAACCAAAGTGAACACAGACCCTCTATCACAAATACCTGATACCTGTTGCACATAACTGGTACCAAAATTGTGTTGTACAGCAGAAGACCTGGAGACCTGCCCGAGAAATCAAACAAACACAATACGAAGTCAAACCTCAATACTTGGTTTGCTACGTTACTTAACTTCTCGGCTCCTATCGAAAATTAGCTCTTCGACTCATATGACAAGGTCGAGAAAAATCTATTTTATAGGTTGCGGTACATTATGAAATACTGTGAGAAAAATCTATTTTATAGGTTGCGGTACATTATGAAATACTGTGATAAAAATGTTCATATCAATTACATCAAGACAATTATCTTTCTATCAGTTTTATATTTTGGACTTACATGAACATATGAAATACTGTGATAAAAATGTTCATATCAATTAAATCTTTTCGTATTATTGTAGGTTTTTCTGCATTTGATTTTATTTTTGCACATCTTGATGTAAGATATATAGACACAAGTCGGCTTGAACGAGCGAACACGCTGTGATAAGACTGGAATACTAATTCAAAGCGAGGTTAAACTCTGCATATCACAATGCATTTCATATTTGTTGCCTTGTGTTGCCTTAGATTGTGTTTATCGACACGGCGATTTACAATATTGTTAATTTCTGTTTGCGTTCATCATGACTTGGTCTGTTAATCCATAACAACAACAAAAACCAAGAAAAAACAAAACAATTCGTTGTCACTCAACAACTGTTGTATTGGTTTGGTTCGTTTGATAAATGCAATACACTTTGGGTTATTATTTTTAAAGTAGAATTAATATTCTATTTGAACCACTTTAACCACTTTCTGATGCTATTCCACATATAAGCTGTAAGAGTCTTGTCTGATTAAAGATGAGGGTATTCAGAGTCATACAGGTGATAGAAAAGTTCGCCTCCGTCTTGGAACGATGGTTTCGTCGTTTCCTTGCGAATAAAGTACTTGATATATATCAAATCATTATATTTCATTAATTGTTATGGAACACGTACTGCTGTAGCACACCTACTTTTTTGTTGTACATCACTACTGTTTTACAACTAGTTCTCATTCATTGTTGCGGAACACGTACTGTTGTAGGAGAACTAATTGTCATATATTGCAGTGGAACCTATACTATTGTAACACAACTAATTATCATTTATTTTGTGGAGCATGGATTACTGTAGCACAACTAGTTTTCATTAATTGCAGTTGAATATTTACTGCTCCAGACAAAACCTAGTTCTTATTTATATCATTGTAGTAATAGCTGCGTAAGTTGTTCTCCTATAGTGCAGTGTATCATATACGTCGAAAACATACTGCTGCAGCACACTTTGTTCTCAGTTATTGAGCGTAACACGTACTGCTACAGCAAAACTAGTTTTTATTTAAGTTCTTGTAGTCAAACATGAACTACAGCGGCACAAGTCTTTTCATTTTTAAGTTTTACATATCGCGGTTTTAGTGCAGTATATCATGTCCTAGAGTGACCACCGCACAACAAGTTCTGGAACATGAACCTAGTTCTTCCAAAGCAGAGAACTTGTATGAAAAGGAACTTCCGGGTGAGTGAGCAACGTCATCAGACGTAGTCTATTTCAGCAGATCGGGCGTCTACCTCCTGCTCGAAGCCAAGGAAGTCAATCTGGGGAGGAGCGGGACCGGAGCCGTAATCCAGAGTCCCCAATTCCTGGTCATCAATATAAATCTGAAACGAAGGGGCTTGGGCATTAGGATTAGTGATAGCGACTGTATGTACAGCTCTTGGAACTAACAATCATGTTTTCAGATTTCACTGAACGTCACAATAAACGCCAAACCACACTGCGACCCGGTATGCCATCACCATGACACTGATGGACATCCATAGCACTGTATAAAGTGACTCTCATATTACGTCTCTGTATGTCTTCACATTAATACTGCGAGGCTGTTGGTCGTCATTTGGAGACGCCAGTATCACACTGTAAGACGACACTGAAGGATATTAGGCCGTTACTTTGGTCATTGAAGGTCGTCACTTTTTGACGTCACCATAACAATGGAGTACTTTATGACGCCATTGTATGACGTCACTATGGCAGTTTCGGACGGCACTGTGGGACATGACTTTATGACATCGTAGGACGTCACTGAAACATTACGAACAAACATTGGCTTGTATACCAAGGGTCCGAAGTCCGCTTCTGACACATGCATACACACGAAATAACCTATAGCCAAATCGCGAAAACAAATAGTTTGACTACACATCGCCTTATCTTGATCGGTGGTTCCATGCCCAGCCACGTCATAACAAAAGGTGGTACTTGTTGTTACCATGGTGCTCGGTATTAAGGGGATAAAACAAGGACTGGTAGGCACTGAGTCAGTATTCATGACACACTGCTGTATGGTATCTCAATGGGGAAGCACAATAAAGCCGGCATACGTCCGGACCAGTACAAACAGCCACACACACGTGCATTACTCTTGAAGTGACGTTGAAGCCCATTTCACGTCACCTGACCTCTATTTGAATTAAGGGGCGGTCGGGTAGCCTAGTGGTTAAAGCGTTCGCTCCTCACGCCGAAGACCCGGGTTCGATTCCCGACATGGGTACAATGTGTGAAGCCCATTTCTGGTGTCCCCCGCCGTGTTATTGCTGGAATATTGCTAAAAGCGGCGTAAAGCCAAACTCACTCACTCACTATTTAATGAAGCATGTGCTTTATCTCTATTTAATGAAATAAAGCATGTACTATCTATGAATGTACATTATTTTCCTCAGAGATTTTTAATGGGTTTCAGAATGGCCTGAATAATTGGTGTGAGCAAAGACAGCGTTCACGTTACTTACCCGAAACAACGTGTCTTCCATAACGACGACGATGCGAAATAGCTTCCCTACTTCGAAAGGGAAGTAGGTGTAGTGGCCACCAGTTATCCAATTGTCGTTTGTCAGATGAGCTATGGCAGTAATGTTGTGGTAACTGTAGTAGTTGAAGCGCACGTGTATATGTAGGGGTCGACCGAAGGGGCCGTGCAGGTCGACGTTGAAACTGTCACATGAAAAGAATTATTGTAGTAACACACACCTTATAACTTTTGATTGAGATATTCCATTCCGACAGAAATGGTATATCATGCAACTCTTCACACGGAGACGAGTTTCATAACATGTATTTATTCGAGTACTCGGCCTTACTGAAAGAACGAGTAATATGTTAACCCATGTTAAAAAAGTTCAAATTGTGTATGTTTGTTGTGATTAACCCAGTTGTGTTTTTTATTTGTTGTTTAACATGGAAATATGGCATCCTTAAACATCTCCATAATATGGGTCTTCGCGATATGGTTTTATCACACGGTTTTTAGAAGATAGAAATTTTAATGTTCGAGTGTGCTCCACATTATCTTACATATATGGTGGTCCTCAGGGGCAGCATTTTATCAGTGACACCTTTTAGCATAAACATCAAGTCTTGCTAAAGTATTAAATCAAAATATTGATGATTCGTTATGTGAAGATGATTTTAATATATCATGTCGTGGTGCCAAGATGAATACAGTTAAAAGACAGTTACAAATATGTAGAAATAAAATACGCAAATGGTCTCTAGAAAACGGTTTTAAGTTTTCGAAAAATAAAACCTGTTGTGTCCATTTTTGCAACAAACGGAAATGACAGACAGATCCTGAATTGACTTTAAATAATATTCAAATAAAAGTGGTCAAATTATAAGTTATCTTCTATACCTCATGTAATATCTTAAAGCTTGATGTTTCAAAGCACTTCTTAAAGTGGTACCAAATGCTACAAGGGGTGGAGACACCCACTGCTCACCCACTGCTACTGGGTAAACCCAACTCACCCACTGCTACTGGGTAAACCCAACTCACTGACTGCTACTGGGTAAACCCAACTCACTGACTGCTACTGGGTAAACCCAACTCACTGACTGCTACCGGGTAAACCCAACTCACTGACTGCTACTGGGTAAACCCAACTCACTGACTGCTACTGGGTAAACCCAACTCACTGACTGCTACTGGGTAAACCCAACTCACTCACTGCTACGAGGTAAACCCAACTCACTCACTGCTACTGGGTAAACCCAACTCACTGACTGCTACTGGGTAAACCCAACTCACTGACTGCTACTGGGTAAACCCAACTCACTGACTGCTACTGGGTAAACCCAACTCACTGACTGCTACTGGGTAAACCCAACTCACTGACTGCTACGAGGTAAACCCAACTCACTGACTGCTACGAGGTAAACCCAACTCACTGACTGCTACTGGGTAAACCCAACTCACTGACTGCTACGAGGTAAACCCAACTCACTGACTGCTACTGGGTAAACCCAACTCACAGACTGCTACTGGGTAAACCCAACTCACTGACTGCTACTGGGTAAACCCAACTCACTCACTGCTACTGGGTAAACCCAACTCACTCACTGCTACTGGGTAAACCCAACTCACTCACTGCTACTGGGTAAACCCAACTCACTCACTGCTACTGGGTAAACCCAACTCACTGACTGCTACTGGGTAAACCCAACTCACTGACTGCTACTGGGTAAACCCAACTCACTGACTGCTACTGGGTAAACCCAACTCACTGACTGCTACTGGGTAAACCCAACTCACTGACTGCTACCGGGTAAACCCAACTCACCCACTGCTACTGGGTAAACCAAACTCACCCACTACTACAGGAAAACCCAATTTAACCACTGCTACTGGTTGAACCCAACTCACTCACTGCTACTCGTAAAGCCAACTCACTCACTGCTACTGGTTAAACCCAACTCACTCACTGCTACTGGTCAAAGCCTACTCACTCACTGTTACTCGTAAAACCAAACTCACCCACTGCTACTCGTAAAACCCAACTCACTGACTGCTACTGGGTAAACCAACTCACTGACTGCTACTGGGTAAACCCAACTCACTCACTGCTACTGGGTAAACCCAACTCACTCACTACTACAGGAAAACCCAATTTAACCACTGCTACTGGTTGAACCCAACTCACTCACTGCTACTCGTAAACCCAACTCACTGACTGCTACTGGTTAAACCCAACTCACTCACTGCTACTGGTCAAAGCCTACTCACTCACTGTTACTCGTAAAACCCAACTCACCCACTGCTACTCGTAAAACCCAACTCACCCACAGCTTCTGGATATTAACCTAAGCGCAACCAATGCTACCAGTTAAACCCAATTCATTCACTGCTACTGTTGAAACCCAACTCACTCAGTACTACTGGTTAAAGCCAACTCACTCAGTACTACTGGTTAAAGCCAACTCATTCACGGCTACTGGTTAAACCCAACCCACTCACTGCTCCTGGGTAAGGCCAACTCACTCACTACTCCTGGTTAAACCCAACTCACTCACTGTTAATGGCCAAAGCCAACTCACCCACTGATACTGGGTAAACCCAACACACATCACTGCTACTGATTAAATCGAGGTCACCAACTGTTACTGGTGAAACCCAACTCACCCACTGCTACTGAGAAACACAACTCACCACTATTGGTAAAACCCAACTCACGCCCTGCTACTGGTTATTGAACCCAGCGCACCCAACGCTACTGGTTAAACCAAACTGCACTACTACTGGTTAAACCAAACTCATCCACTGTTACAGGTAAACCCAATTTAGCCACTGCTACTGGCTAAACCCAACTCACTCACTGCGAGTGGTAAAACCCAACTCACTCACTGATACTGGTTATTGAACCCAGCGCACCCAATGCTACTAGTTAAACCAAACTCACACACTACTACTGGTTAAACCCAACTCACCCTCTGCCACAGGTAAACCCAATTTAACCACTGCTACTGGCTAAACCCAACTCACTCACTGCTAGTCGTAAAACCCAACTCACTCATTGATACTGGTTATTGAACCCAGCGCACCCAATGCTACTTGTTAAATCAAACTCACTCGCTGCTACTCGTAAAACCCAACTCACTCGCTGCTACTGGTTTAACCCCGGACGCGGATCTGCCAACCATGGATTTTGGATCGGGGTCCATCGGACATTCGAACCAACGATCACCGAAGCCTGGCACGCCTAAGAGATGCAACTCAACACTGTACGCTCATTCTCACCAATGAGGTGCTCTTGATGTTTCCACATCAACGTAGGAAAAGTACATTTAAGATGATTGAATGTTTCAAATAATTGTATAGATACAGATAAACTCAGAACACACCGATATGCAAACCAGTACGTCATAGCTAACGGTAAATAACTTCTCAAATAAGCAAAACGACACCTACGTTTCCTGTCACACTTAATACTCTAGATCAATAAAAACTGCTTTTGAAAAGGATTCGAAAGTTAAGCTGCATCATAATAGTTGTTTGATGTGTTGAATTCATCACCCCGAGGCAACGGAGTTAACGGACTCCAAAAGTCCCCTTTCCACCCATGCCGAATTAGGCTGGAATTTCTTGGCCCGATCGTAGCGCCGAGTTATGTCCCTTCTATGCCCCTCTTATTGATCAATTAGATTCCACCTCTCATATCATTTCTCGGACAAAATGGCGGCGCCCAGTAAAGACGATCTGATCGATGATCAAGACATATGTTGCAATAAAACGAGTCTTACCTCGCGAAGTGCATCAAATCGCGTGAGCACCTTGATTAAAAACATGAAAATATTTGGAAAATATTTGTAATCGCCAAATTGACGGTACACATCTTCTGCAAATCCTGCAGTCGACCGAAAATCTGCTAGTTAAAATCCATTATTTTTACGAACCGGATGTCGCTTTCGTTGCGCGATTTTGATTGGACTGTGCATAGACTCGTTAATCTAGCCAACATATAACTCAATAATTGCAGCCTAGTTCGGCAAGGTTGAAGACTGGACTTGTACTGTCAGTTAACTTCCTTGCCTCTTAGGGGTAAAACATTAATGAAACTACACAATAAAGATAGTAGCTTGGATAAAACACCATCACTGACAGGCGGGTGTATTGTGCCGTAATATCCCAGTTCATTGCCACAGTCTCGAATTTTGTGATGACTCCAGTTTTACGAGTCTCCCGCTTGTTGAATATTTTTGTGCCTCTTTTCATCTATTAGTGTTTTATAAAATTTGAATTTATGATTTACATGGGTCGTACAATCAGCTGGTAATAATCATCTCTTAGTTTTTTTAAACGTGTTTTGTTTATTTGTAATGGCATTACTACCAGAATAATATGCATACTTAACAGAATGGTAACATGTCACATCACACAATGTCAAGTAATAATATACCAGTATATACAAATAACAAGAACTACATTTTATCACTGTACCTCATTCTGAAAGTATTGAAACATATCTTGATAATAATTATCATCAATTGTGTCAGTGTGTAACTGAATAAGTAGTAAGATGCATACGTTAAAAGTCATACGTAAATGTTCCTGAAAAGGAAATTAGTTTCATTAATGTCAAATACATTGGGTATCTAATTGGATACTCACACATACTCACTGGTTGGTATGCCGGTCCAGGTTATGCGATCCCCTATTCCCAATGGACATGGTAGATAGCGGTAAACGCCGTTTCCACTCTGAAATTATTAAGGACATCACGATCATCACGCCGCACGTGTAGCACCAGATTTTTAGTAGCAATGACATGCAATATCAACAGCTGACAGCCGTGCAAGATATGGTTGTTGTTTAACGCCACACTTAGCAATATTCCGACTTTATGACGGCGGCCTGTAAATAATCGAGTCTGGACCAGACAATACAGTGATTGAGCATCAATCTACGCAAGTTACCGGGCCCGACCACCCGATCACGTTTGCCGTTTGGCGAGAGAAAGTTGTTTATTTTTGTCTCACCTCTTACAAACATAGAAACATACAAATGAAAAACCATATATTAATAAACATTTCATGTACAATGGCAGTCCAAACGGGGATATGAGAGACAGTATAATGTGAACATAATATCATATCGATAAAGTAAACTATTTTATATAAACTGATGTCCAAAAGAAAGTACAAAAAAGTCCGTTGTTTCATTACTTAATAAAATAAACCACAGTGGAGAAATATTTCGCACAAATACAACAAAAATATTTTCGATGATATAAGCTTGAGACAGTGTAAATTAAAATAAAAACGTTGTTTGCATATTAAAAAGTCAATTCAGGTGCAAAACAAGCCATCCATCCATCCAACCCTGCACACACACACACACACACACACACACACACACACACACACACGCACACACGCACGCACACACACACACACACACACGCACACACGCACAAACGCACACATACACACATACACGCACACACGCACACATACACGCACACACGCACACATACACACACACACACACACACACGCACACACACACACACACACACGCACACACGCACACACGCACACATACACGCACACACGCACACGCACACACGCACACGCACACACACACACTAACACACACATACACACGCATACACACACGCACACGCACGCACACACACACACACACACACACACACGCACGCACACACACGCACACACACACACACACGCACACACACACACACGCACACACACACACACACACACACACACACACACACACGCACGCACGCACACACACACACACACACACACACACGCACACGCACGCACACGCACACACACACACACACACACGCACACACACACACACACACACACGCACGCACGCACGCACACACACACACACACACACACACACACACAGACACACACACACACACACACACACACACACACACACGCACACACACACACACACACACACACACACACACACACACAGAACCAAGTTTTATTATCAAGTATTGACAGCCTTTTCTTTACGGATTCCATGAATACAGCTGAGTGCAAATCTACCTGTGATAGATCTACAGGAGAGCCTGCACGAGCGACCCTGCACGTTTGCTGTTTCATTCCTTCTCGGCCTTCGGTCTCAAAGAGTTGTTTGGACAATGAATATGCATAAATTTCGCTTAATGTCCTGTGCATGACGATACACGTGAACAGAAAGGGAATTCCCTCGACTGTAATACTGTAATTCCGCAGTAATAAAAGTAGTCCGCCTCAGTGGGCATGGCTTAATTCTTTACATTCATTTTGAAATGAATACAATAACACGTGCCCAATTCAGCTAATCAGAATGCAGGAATGACAATGAACACAACAAAAATTTAATTATACCAACTGGCAAATGGCCTAAATCTGCCAACCCAGGATTTTCTTATTCTTTTTGACCAAATAAACACTTATTTTCATGATGCCGTGTTTTGTTTCACGTGCTTGGAATAACGCCTGTCAATCCTCTCTTTCATCAGACAACTATTCCAGCCTATTTCCTCTCTGACTGGACAGGGGCGGTGGGGTAGTCTGGTGGTTCAAGTGTTTGCGCGTTACGCCGAATGCCCGAGTTCAAATCCCCACATGGGTACAATATGTGAAGCCCATTTCTGGTGTCCCCTGCCGTGGTATTGCTGGAATATTGCTAAAAGCGACGTAAAACCATACTCACTCACTCTGACTGGTCAGTTGGAGGTGTGACACAACACCCCTAGATATACATGTAATCGGCATGCTGATTTGAACACTATTTGTTGCACTAAATCCACTCAGTCCTCAAACTGCTGAGACATACAACAAGCGATTCATGTACATGTAGTTTCGAGATAGTCACATGTGTCACTCCGCCATGTTCAAAATACTTCGCCTGAAGACATGGAGAGACTCGGATGCTTAAGGTTCTACTACACCAAATCAGAACCAGTTTGGACAGTGCGGTTTTCGTAGGGAGCCTTCAGTGCAGATCGAGAGATATCTGCAGGCTGTGATTGGAGGAAATTCTGTAAGATTTTTATGTCTTTCAAATGTACGTCTATCCAGTTATTAAAACTGACCATGTTTTTCTATATTTAGTACTGTCTTTTTCAACATGATGACTTATGCTGAATGTGACCACAGCTATTTTCAAGTAGGTGCCATTTGGTGCGAAACAGGGGGTGGTGTGTTTAGCTTCCGGTACTCGGAAAAGGAGCTGACTAAGCTAGTCATTTTTATTTTTTTTATTGCTGCTCTAAGGCCAAACTGTGCACACACGTACAGGTAATAGTTGTTGAATGCTTAGTTATTTTAAAAAAAATCATAACGTTACTATAGAAGTCTATGGGAAAACATTTGGTTGTGTGTAACCTTAATTAACAAATTCTCGGAAGTGAATAACTTTAGGTTGTTGAGTTCAAATCTCCATTTAACACCATAGGCAGTCACAAGAGCAAACATCTTTTGTGGAGATTGTTCATTCGGGGCTAACCACACTTTGTCATCGGAAACCAATGGATTGTATTGGGTACAGATGGACATGAGGCGAATGTGACCGGCTTGTATTGTGTACAGATGGACATGAGGCGAATGTGACCGGCTTGTATTGTGTCTTGACTGACATCAGACAAATGTGACCAGCTTGTATTGTTTGTAGATCCACGTAATGTACAGGCGAGTGGCTTGTATTGTGTATAGATTGACATAAGACGAAGGCGACCGGCTTGTATTGTGTGTAGATCCACGTAATGCAAAGTTGACCGGTTTGTATTGTGTGTAGATTGACATAAGACAGAGGCGACAATTGGCTTAAGACAAAGCTTGCCGGCTTGTATCGTGTATAGATTGACATGAGACAAAGACGACCAGCTTGTAATGTGACACAAGATAAAAGTGACGTACCAAATCCTTCCATCGGTTTCTGACACACTCCCCGGGAATACCCTGCCACTGCCCCGAGGCGGAACAGACGCTGGTGTTAGTCACACCACGGCAAAAGGTATAGTCGGCGTCGCAGGCGTAGTGAGCGACATCTCCCTCTCCACGAGTGGCGGCGTGGACAGCACCGTTGACGATGGATGTAGGAGGGCTGCAGCGCATCTCACGGTTTACTGAAATTCAAAACGGTGATTGTCAAAGCTCGCAATACTTAACAAAAGTTTGTATTTCGATTCTGCTATGAGAGGAAGGTTGTTTTTATGGTGTTTTGTGATAGGACAGTGAATATGACTAAACAGATGTAGCGCATTATTCGAATTGTGTGGTGCTTAAAATAGTTCTTCTTGACAAAAGTAACTAATGATAGGGAACTCAGCACTGTGTTCTTATTTTGGTGGTGGTCCAGCAGTAAAAGCGTTCTCCCGTCATTCCCAAGAACAGGGTTCTATTCCGCGCATGGGAATAACATGTGCAGCCGATTGTTTTGTGTTCTAGCTGTGATATTGCCGGAATATTGCATAAAGCGGCGTTAACCATACACACTCATTCAGCTGGAGGTCTCAAGGGAGCTACATCACTGTTAACTGCTCAATATCAGTAGCAATCGTATCGATATTGTTCAACTTAATTTTAGAAGCAAACGTTGATAATGTGGAATTGTGTTGAGCGGAATGACACACTGAAATAGAATTTCCACGTTCAACTATTAACGTCACATCGGATTAGCCCTGATTGACTGTGATGTTGGTGGTTAGTCAATACCAATAGAGACCGAGGTTGATTAAAAAAAATGACATCATAGTTTTGTTAATTAAAATAATTTTTTTCTTTTTTCTTTTTCATATTCGGACGATCCGAAACCGCTCAAACTCAGAGGAAGACCGTCGATGATGTCAAGGTCACAGAGTATGGTCACAACTGGGATGGAAACAAGTTTGGTTTGGTGACAAGTAACGTTTTATGCTTCGACGTGCGGATGCTATGCGTCGTGTTAACAGGGGTCCCGGGGAACGTTATGCAGGGAACTGCATACAGGAATTGAACATATGTTGTGGTGGTAGTGTGATGATGCAGGCAGCCATCTCCAACAGTAGTAGAACAGACTTGTCTAAGTTCTGGGGAATTTAACGGCACAACGTTACACGGATGAGCTTCTTCTACCACACGGCTTTCCCATTATGCACGACCTCACACGACAAGATTGACACTAGACTAAGTCCTGACATGGCCCTCCAGGACCCCAGATTTAAACCCAATCGAACATTTGTGGGATGCACTGTATCAACGACTGCGAGCACGCCAACAACAACAACAACAACAGAACCTCCGACAGTTGGCACAAGCACTGCAGGCAGAGTGGGTGAACATTCCCCCGGCTACAATTCGGGATCTTATTGCTTCCGTGGGATGACGATGCCAGTCAGTTTTTGGACTCTAATGGTGACCATACAATATATTGAGAACAGATGATTTCCACCTTGAAAATGTCTTTGCAAAGGCTGCAGCACAGGCCACAGAACGTTGTCCACACAACGTTGAGCAGTCAAGTTGCGGTTAATGACAATGAGATCACTCGCAACGTGTGCATAATTGCACCGCAAACCATCACACTGCCTCCTCCAAAACGGTCACGCTCACAAACACAAGCGTCAGCAAATCTTTCGTTCCTTTCAATCAATAAAGCAAACACAGACTTGTCTGCGACCATACTGATGACAAAGCTGAACACCACGATGGTGAAGGTGAATGAGGTTACCGCGATGAGGTCGACGACATAGTACCGAAGTTCCCCGGCCCTCAAACGCCGAATCACTGTCATGGCATGGATGGGGCTGCTGTGGTTTCTATGTAGCGATCGCTAAGGTGCTGACGGCGAATCAAGCGGTTCTGACGCGTCGTGGTTTCGTGACGTCGCACTGGTCGGGTCCTGTCACGGATGCTACCTGTAGGTGCATTTGGTGCAATGGTTTTCGACATGAAACCAGCCCGTAACATTCCAAGAGTTTCGTTCCTCTCTTCTAACGCCAAGCGTGGCATGGCCTTTGATGTGTCCACATTCAAGGAATGCACGTGCAAAACGACATAACCTCATCACGTCATAACGTCAAGATGTGCGTTTGTGCTCATGTCCATCTCCAAACACATCGAATAAGATTCGAACCCGAACGGGGACATAATTGTGTCTGGTTATCCCATCTCCTAATACCCAGAACAGTTTTCTTTGATTTTAGTTGTCATTAAAAAAAATAATAATCCAATTTGTGTGTCAATTTAGTTGAGTCGACACAAAGGTAGATGGATGACAGTGTCCATCTCAGATATTTTGTTGACTTTCCTAAGTCATACGAATATCGTATATTTCTATTTTCTCAATGACATTTTAGGGTTACCTGAATCCCAAATATTGTCCATCATGAATCTGATCCCTTTTGCTTGATCAGTAATGATAAGATTTGACTTGTCTCCCCAGCTTTCCTGAAAACGTCATATTCTCTACTCAACGAAGTATTAAACATACTTCAATCACCAAACGCTCTCAGAATGGATGCATTATGACACTCATAATTACTTCAAAGAGTGAGTGAGACGATTTTACTATGAATGTCGCAACCTTTAGGAATAGTCAAGCAATATCAAGGCGGGGAAACCGGAAATGGGCTTCACACATTTTACCTCTTTGGCGTGACGAGTGGGCGCTTTAACCACTTACCTATCTCCTCGCCCCTAAAATACTCCTTTTTTTCTAATTTCATCCATACTAATTGGTTCGTCTAATCTGTGAGCGGTTGCCTCATCTAAAATTGGCGTATCTATTCTATAGAGGATATCTCGAATCATTCCATTATGGTCTTTCTTTGACGAATATAAGGAGGCATAAAATTCTCTTTAATGATTTGTTTATTCGTAAAATTCCTGTTTTCCAAATGACAAAAATATTATGTTGGTTTTTCTCCTTCATCGTAAGATTAAATTCGATTTCTGACAAAACATTCTCTAATTTTTTTTTCCTTTAAACTTTAGAATTCAATTATATGTTTTGAGAGTTTGGATAACAACGATTCATTAATGTTTTGAAAATTATCGATTATTTTATCCTCGAGGTCATTTAAGATTAGTTCCAAAGAATCAAGCTATTTTTGTTTATCTTTTTTAATATGAGATGCAAAGGATATTGTTTTCTCCCTAATTTTGATTAAAAGTGTTTCAAGAAATAGTGAATAGCTCATCGTTAGATCAAAATTTAAATGTTCTAACTTGTTAATATCATTCTCAGTCTATTGTGGATCAGAATTTTCCCTAAAAGTTTCCTATAATATGAAATAACCATGTTTGCATAATCGGTATATTGCAACAAAGAAGTATTAAACCTCCAGTAGCATCTGCCTTTTTCCCGACAAAAAGAATTTGAAAACGAGAGCGTAACAACTGAATGATCAGATTAATAACCTGGTAAAATGTTCGTGTCAACAGTTGAATTCAGACTATCTCTCGACACCAGGAAAAGGTCTAGTCAAGCTGTTTTTACCATAAAGCAAAATAAGAGTCCCGGGATAGATGGTTTCCCTGTAGAATGTTTCGATTTACTACTACGTAATTACTTGCGTTCCAAAGCCTAATAAAGACAGACACCGCTTAAACAAATGGCGCCCAATATCTCTGTACAAAATAATTTGCACTTGTGTTACTAACAGAATTGTGGAGACTACACGTGTTGGTACAGGAAATCAGATTGGTTTTACACCAGGGAGGAGCATAAGCGATAATGTTGGGATGCTAAATGATTTGATCTATGAAACAAGGAACCAAAATAAGCATGGGCCACTGATTTTAATTGATTTTGAAGAAGCTTTTGATACTGTATTGAAAGATTTTATGATGTTAGTATGGTATCGTTCCTGTTCTTCGAAAATGGATCATTTTGATAAGAAACTCTAACTCATGTGAAATTTAAAATGGACATTCCACATCTTTACAAAATGAAAAAGGCTGCAGACAGGGTGACCCTCTCACTCCATATCTCTTCCTTTTTGTGGCTGAAAGTTTAAGAAATATGACCAGAAAACAACCAAAAGTATAAGGGGGATACATAACAACAATACTGAAAATATACTTGGACAGTATGCTGATGATACCGAATTATATTTAGACTGAACAGAATCAAGCCACAAAGGTGCTTCAGATACTCTTGACTTATTTAAAGACATATCGGGCTGTCAAGATTAATGTAGATAAGACTAAGGCAATTTGGATTGGCACAATGACAAATGCAATGTTGGGTTATATGAAAATAAACAGTTAGATTGGCATACAGGCAATGTGGACGTACTAGGGATTACCGTATGGGCCTTTGGATCATTAACACAAGAAATATACTTGAAAATGTTAAAAAAAACCCTGGCGATCTGGAGGAGAAGAAACTTGACATTAATTGGTAAAATTGCGGTTATCAAAACACTTGCATTGTTAACAGTGCATATTTTTACACCATTACCGAATCCGCCAGAAAGTTTCATTAAAACGGTAAATGACAAACCTGATAAAAAAGGGAGGATAAATTTTCCATTTACACAAATTTTTAATAAAGGAGCTCGTAATAATATGCACTATCATGTCGATACCCCATTTTGGAGAGACGTTTTAAATACTTGGGCAAAGTTCTACAATAAGCATGAAATATATAATGTGTATGATCTTGAGGACACAGTTATGGAACCTCTGTGGCTTAATATTCACTTTGAAGATTCCGACTCCGTCATAAAAAGTTGGGTGAATATGAAGATAAATCAAACTAAAGATATATGTAACGGAAATGGTTTAATGAATTTCCAGGAGTTTAAGGATAACTACGATATTAAGGTACGTTTTTAGAATATAACAAAGTGTTGATGAACATTTCTTCATCATGGAGGACACTATTAGGAAACGCCCACAATTTGAACCTCTACAATTTAGGTGTTCCAAGAGCATGTATGGCACTACTATTAATATAAAATCAAAGTAAAGGAGAAAGATATTTTTATGATGTCTTATCTAAAACTGGTAACGTACCCCATGTATTCTGTAAATTGCAAAGACAACTAACAGAGCCTTTGGTTTGAAAGAATATGTTTAATCAATATAACAAAATGTACAAGATACACTGAATTAATTAGCAATTTTTAGCAAAAACATA